AGAATGGCTCCTTGGCTCTGACACAGGAAGGGTACTTCACATCTCTAGATCTGTTTCCTAACAGTGAGGAGGTTCCCGGTTCAAATCCCCGTCTGACAGGAGTCTCTCTGTGTGGAGTCTGCATGTTCTCCTCGTTCATGTGTGGGTTCTCTGTGGCTTCCTCCCACAGTCCATAGACATGCTCGTTAGGTTAACTGCTGACTCTAAAATTGTCTGTATGTATGAATGTGAGTGTGGCTGGTTGTCAGCCCTGTGATTGGCTGGTGACCAGTCGAGGGTGTAACCCCGCCTCTCGTCCAATGACAGCTGGGATGCCCTCCAGACCCTCCTGCGACCCCAAAACGGGAAAAGGGGTAAAAGATAATGGATGGATAGATTTTGACAGATCCTGACATCACAAAGGGCACTAGCCCCTCCCCCAGGTGGGTGTTTGTTCTAACCCTCTGACCTTTAACCTCACTGGTTTGAAGTGTTAGAGGAAAGTCAAACTTCCTCTTCAAAGTTTTAAGTTATCTATTTCATCCAAGGAGGATCTGATGACCTGAATTCAGTATTTGTATTTATGTTTGTTTTCCATAATGCTCATCTGTGTATAGAAAGTAAATAAATGAGGATGTTACCATCAGTCAGGAGGGGGGGGGGGGGGGTCCTGTCATACGACTCAATCAGCATGTAAATGAACACATCACCTCCCAGTCACTCATTTCATTATCGTCTCTGATATGAAACCAGGACGAGGCACCGCATGACTTCATGTTTCTTTAAACATGAATTCATGTTTCTTTAAACATGTCGCACATTAAACAAACGCATTCAGAACGAGCAGGAAATTGAAGAAAAATATCAGATGTGAGCGAGAGGAGTGTGGGGGGGGGGGGGGATGCACATGGGACAGAACGGGAGACGTTGAGGGAGGTGATGTGGAGAGTCGGAGGAATAAATGATCTAATGAGGAGAGAGAGGAAGGAACAGAAAAAGAAATAAGGAGGAGTTAAGACAGAGGACAAAATGAAGAGAGAGATGTGAGCAGGAACAGCTGAAAAGATTTTGGTAGAAGATCGTGACAGAGAGAGGGGGAGAGGGGGAAGGGGGGGATGATGGGAGCTGGAAAAGATTAGAAGAGGGATGGAGAAAAGGAGCAATGCAATCGAAATGAGACTTTTTTAGTGGAGAAGAGAGCGATAAAAAGGATGGAGGAGGAAGAGAAGGGCGACAGAGATTGGAGAAGTGCATGTAGTCTGAAAAAACAGTTGCTGTTTGCATTTCTCTCACGCTGCGCCGCTCTGACCAAACAAATTAAATCTGTTCTCAGAGCAGCAGCAGTTCCTCCGAGACGCTGCGGCACGCTGCACAGAAAGTCGAGCGCAAATACTCTGAAGACGTTCTCATGAAAGTAAACTTATCGGGGAAAAACCAGAACACACAGACGTAAAATAAAGTATTAATGGTGATTATTTGTTAATGGGGCTGTGAGAGTGGAATTAAAGATTGTCTGTTTGCATCGCACACTTTATTTTACTCTGAAAATGTTTTACTCATCCCTGCACGGATCTAGAGCTCAGCCAATCAGAGAAGAAGTATGAGTAGAATAAGTAGTTTGTAGTGTTGTAGTCAAGACACTAAAAAAAGAGTGCATGACAGAGTTTTGGGGATTCACATGTTTTGAAAGATCTTTACAGTCTCTGATCAGAGCAGCTTCTGTAACAACAGAAAGCATTAATCAGCCAATCAGAAACAAGAATTCAATAAAGCTGTGAAATAATGGGCTGTTGCTTGAACAGACGGTTAAACAACAGTTCTACCTTTCAAAACATCACAAAGCTGCACAGACTCTCAGGTGAAGTTTAAGAGGGATTTTTTATTTTTTTAAGATTTATTTTTGGGGCTTTTTGTGCCTTTATTGTAGAGTGGATAGAGAGAGAGAGAGAGAGAGAGAGAGAGAGAGAGAGAGAGAGAGACAGAGAGAGAGAGAGAGAGAGAGAGTGGGGAATGACGTGCGGGAAAGGAGCCACAGGTCGGATTTGAGCCTGGGCCGCCTGCTTGGAAGACTACAGCCTTCACTAACTGCTGTACAACCAGCGCCCCTTATTTTTTTGACTCTTAAACAGTTCACGAGGGTGTGAAAGGATGCAAGGCACCCTCATTTAAAATTTCTGCACCCTGAATTAAATGGATGGAAAAAAATAAAAGTAATCAGTGCATTCAGAGGACAGCAGTGTTGCTGTTATTACATCCACGTTTTGATGGTCATGACAGGTGCATGTGACCTGTTCTGTTCACTGTGGACCACATGAGGGTCACACAACACCTACGCTTTTGTTTCATTGCTGTTGCCGGTCTCTGTAGTTGCTGGACCCCCTTTAAGGGTGAGGTCTCAGATGGACCCCGAGTCAGATTTGTGGAGTCCAGTTGTCTCTCAGTGTTGCCTGCAACTTGTCTTTGTCTATATTCCCATCATGTGCAACCTCTTCATTTAGCCATTATCATCTGACTGCAGTCTCAGCTGGGGTCTGACCCCCCCCCCTCCCCCCGTCAACATTTCCACTGAATTGATTTCATTCGTTTACATCTCTCCCATTACTTCCTCACATTTAGCTCTCGTTGCCGCACGGCGCCCCGATGTGAGGACACACGCTGCAGACTGCCTGTTGTGGGTTTTATTCCGCGCTGCAGATGAGGCACAGTTTGAATATTTCAGCACCGTAAATAAAAGAGCGTGACTGTTTTTCTCCGCTGTTATTTGCAATCGACCTTCCTCCAGTCACTCAGTGTCTAACTCAGAGGAACTATTTTGGAAAGTGTGTGTGTGCAGGAGTAAGTGTGTGTGTCGGTCTTTTTGCATATGCCACCGCCGCCTGAGCGTGTTTTCTTTTCCTCCTGGTTTGAATTTATTCCGAGCTCCTGCGTGGAAAGAGAAATCAATATCAATGTAAATGTTTTCCTTTATTGTCTCGGCTGGAGAGGTATGGCTTCACTCTCATTTTTATGCACAGAAAACATCGATGAAATTTACGAAGTGAGACAGACGACTCACATAGAGGATAATTTGTGTTCTCTAATGTTCCCCTCAGTTTGTAATCATGGCGGTGCAGAGAGCGTAATTGATGATAAAACTACTGTTTACTGTTGACTTCCACAGGATAACGTTGTCAGCAGGAAACACACACACACCAAACAAACTTCAATTCCCCCGCTCTGCTGTCTCTGCAAGAGTCCCCCCCCCGCTCAGCCCCCCTCTGTCTCTCTTTTTCATGAAGCACTTATTATACAGTCCACTACAGTGGGAACAGAAAAGTCCCAGAAAGCATAAAGGAATGATTTGTGTGTGTGTAAGCTTCATGAAAAGTTGGTAAAAGCATAACCAAATGGTGTGATTTTCACAGTAAAGGAAACATCTTCTGCAGCTGTTATCTCGTGCTGCTGTGTTGCTGTGAGGAATTATCTTTACAGTCACACAGTGGTTTGTGTGTGTGTGTGTGTGTGTGTGTGTGTGTGGTGGGGGTTGGGGGGTGGGGGGTGACTATCTGTGCAACAAAATCTTCACATCAGATCAAGACGCTCCTGTTGGCCAAAGAGTTTCTACATTTTTAGATGAACAGGAGGATTCTGCTGGAGTCTTTTCGTTTGTTTCCTGTCTGGGGTTTAAGGATCATTTTAAGACATTTTAAATGTTTTTATTAATGATCTTGTGTGTAAATGTCTGGATTAATTAAGTTTCCTTAGCAAGTTGCCAAGAAATAGGGGGAAAGGTTAGTCCACTAAATGCAAGGCGGCCCATAAGGGGGGTTTAAGGGGAAAGCCTTTTGGGGCCCAGTCGCATAGTGAAGGCCAGTGGAGGTTAGCGGGGACATGGTCCATCTTCATTTTTAATTAACAATGACCTCATTATAGTTTATACCTTGGAGCAACGATAACACACATTATATGTTTTATTGTTTTAGTAAGCTGAAGCCTGTTTCAGAACGTAAAGCCCCTCTCATTAAAGTGATATGAGCCTTTTTCTTGTAACGTTACCGTCGTCAGCGGGACCAGTGAACTTCACTGTTATGCCGGTTATGTTGTAATGAGTTTTCCAGTACCTGCACAGAGTTAGCATGGCAGGAAAGTAAGAAGTAGAAAAGGAAAAGGAGTGAGCTGGCTTGGGCGTTTGACCCCAACAAGAGAACCTGTTAACAAACTTATTTCAGTCGTCTTCAAAGGCTGATGGGAGCACGGCAGAGGATGCTAATGTTAAAGCAAGGAGGCTAGCGCTTAACACTACTGACCGAATGTGCATACATTGATTTAAATAATATCCTGGGAGGGTCCATTCAGAAAATTCTGTGAGCAGACCTGATTAAAAGTTGTTGTTGTTGTCAGTCCCTAAGAGGCTCAGAACGTTTTTCTAAGTGTCTGACGACATTAACAGAGATGATCCCTGCAGATATCGACCGTTCAGTCAAACAGGAAACAGCTGTTATACCTCATACCAGTCCCTTCAAAGTCACCAGACTAATTTGTTCACCAGAACATGAGAGTTGCTTGCTGACCTCTGCACTGATCGGTTCAGACATTTCATTTTATTGTTTCTTTTGTGTTGGTTTCAAACTAACAAATTCAAACCTGAGACAAACATGTACAGCAACATCTCCTGGTTGTAAAAGCTTAAATGACTGGAATGAACTCTGGTGGCTTAGACCAGAGCATTGAGAGAGCTGAGGCTTTCTGTAATATTTATCAGACACTTTTAAAGGCAATCAAACCTGCAGGGGACACAGATCAGCTCTTCTTCTTGATTTACTTTGACTGCTTCAGCCAGAGGCCTTGAAACTTGAAGAGCGCTGTAGTGGCTGCAGCCGAGTCCTTACATCCAACTGAGGCAGAATCAAAGTTTCACTTCCAGAACGTTTTCTACCTATATGTTGTAAAGACCTCAAATCTCTTTGTTTTAAAGATGGCTGAATATCCCTGTGTGAAGTATCAGAGTTGAACTAAGGTGTGCTCGTTTCTCTGTGTTGCAGAAGAGAAGAAGCCATGGAGGTCGTCTCCTCGCTGCTCTGCCCGCTCCTCCTCCTCCTCCTCTCCGTCCTCCCGTCCCGCTCCTCCTCCATGCTGTGCCCGAAGCGGTGCACCTGCCAGAACCTGCTGCCGTCCTACACGGTGCTGTGCGCCAAGACGGGCCTCCTCTTCGTCCCGCCCAACATCGACCGGCAGACGGCCGAGCTGCGGCTGATGGACAACTTCATCACAACGCTGAGGCATCGCGACTTCGCCAACATGTCCAGCCTGGTCAGTTTTTCTTTCTCCACAGCTTCACATTCATTTCTACTCTGTTAGTTTAGGTATGCATGCTGCTGAGAGCTCTTCTTTAAATCTGCTTTCAGCTCGTTTGATTCCTCTCCAAAGCCAAAGATCGCTTACATAACACACAATAAAAGCTAAATGATGTGACTGCTGTTCTTCACTGTGATTATGGTACTTAGCGGTGCTCTTTATAAAAAGCCAACCTTCTGCATTTATGACTCAGTGTCATCGTCGTGACTTACACTTCATGCAGTTCAACAAACCAGTCATAACAAAGAGAATCTAGTCAGTGAGGATGAATCAGCAGCCTGAACCAAACGACTGGAGACAGACTTTAAACCGACTTTAAATTAGCTTAATTAATTAATGCTAAGGGTCATGTAACCAAAAAAAAAAGCAGCACTCATAAGCTTATAGAAACATCAAGCTGTAAGGAAACAGAGATAAGCTTTGACCATCATGGAGACTGAATCTTTCTTAATAATGAGAATACTAGGGTTGTCAAACGGTTACATCGTTTATCACGAGATGTATTTTTGGGCTGCCAGCTTGAGGGACTACAGCCTCCCTACAGGGGGCACGCGCACTAACCACTGTGCCACTGTGCCACCCGCCCATTAATTGCAAATTTGTATTTCCATTATTTCATATCTAAAGATAAAATTGTTAGGCTTTTTTGGGGCACTGGTGGCTCAGTGGCTGTAGTCCTCCAAGCGGGCGGCCCAGGTTCAAATCCAGCCTGTGGCTCCTTTCCTGCATGTCATTCCCCACTCTCTCTCTCTCTCCCTGATTTCCAGCTCTATCCACTGTCCTATCTCTACAATAAAGGCACAAAAAAAAGCCCAAAAGTATATTTTTTTAAATTGTTCTTTTACTCTGTCTCAAACTGAGAGTACTCTGGAGCTGACCCTCCACGAGCTCTCATTTTATAATGAATTAAAAAAAAACAGACCAGTGAAGTGATTTTAAACCCTCAGTGATGTCTCCTCTCCTGTTGGATCTGGTTCTGAGTCTGCATGCAGCGTTTTGGATCAGCTGTTTGTAGAGGTTGTGTTGTGTAAGACAAGAGTGCAGTGAATAAATGAATTACTGTTTCCATGTTATTAACAAATAAAAATGACCTTTTTCTTTTTTTTCAAGCTTTTTTGTGCCTTTAATGGAGAGATAGGAAAGTGGATAGAGTCGGAAATTAGGGAGAGAGAGAGAGAGAGAGAGTGGGGAATGACATGCAGGAAAGGATTTGAACCTGGACCGCACGCTTGGTGGACCAAGGCCTCCATACATGGGGCGCACGCACTAACCACTGCACCACTTAAAAAAATGACCTTTTCATTTTCTCACTCTTTTCCTCAAAATAATTTCCTAATCCTAACTGAGCGTCCCAGTTTTACTTATGGAGTTTATGTTTGAAGCCTTCAGCGTATCGATTAAAATCAAACTGCTCTGCTCTCAGTGTTTTGGACAACATGTGAACTTTTAATGAAAAGAAAAAGAAAGAAAAGAAAGCCAGCACAGTGAGGAGAGTTTGAATGTTTATTCCAATCTGAAGAACATCTGCGCTTTCCAACACGACTTACTGACTGATGTTAAATCAAAGAGATCTCACAGATTTTAGTCAATTAGCCGACCGTCGTCATGAAAAGGAGGTGAAGAAAACCTTAACGCTCACGACACCACCTCCACCATGAGATAGAGACGCTCCTCCCAGCGGGAGACTTCCTCGCTGTTTGATGAATGACGTTTCCTCTCCGGTGTGATCACAACAGCACAGATGATGTTTGCTCACACAAGGCAGCGTGGGAAATGAGGTTTTTAATCATTTGGCGTCAAACCTTTTCAGAGTGGCACAGATGTTTCCGGTGATTTTCCAAAGTAGTTTTTAGAAATGTGTGGATGTTGATCGACCTTTTCCCCGAGTGTTTGCAGAACATATTTCTTCATTTCCACGCCCACAGACAGATGCATTTTGTTTTAATGTTTTTTCTTTCTTTATACGTGCAGTTATATTCTTAACTGACCCAAAGTACTCTTTTATTCCTAATATGAATATTAATGAAGGCTGGCTTAGTGTTTAAAGGCCATTCTGCAAGAAGACTGCAGATCTGAGCATCTTTGAGGGTCCCGTCTGCTGAACTGTTCAACATGATTCTTACGTTCAGGGGCGTGGCCAAAGGGGTGACCAGGGGTGACATGGCCCCCCTTGAAATCTGATGGCCACCCCAGAATAGAATTAGTCAAATCAGAGACTTAAGACTAAAGTTAAAAATCAAACTGCGGGCTGTATTCAACAGGCAGCTGATAGTTTCAGAGTAAATGTAGTCTATTTTTTGTTTGTTTGTACTTTTAGTTGTAAATAAATTATTTGCATTCTTTGCTCTTTCCATAAACATTTGCGAACACTGTGAACCAGCAATGGACTGACTCCCCAGTAAATGCATATGAGATGCAGCGTTAAGAGTTTGCAACCTTTTTGAGTCCCCAAAGAATAAAACAAAATGATTAATATGTTTCCAAATTGTGTTGATTATAAGTATTTCCTTGGTTGGGATAAAATGGCCCAACCTTACAGGAAACAAACAAAAGCTTCATGCCAACCCTGAATAAGTCAGATCCCAAGGTGAGCCACCCTAGTCTAAAAGAAGTCTGGACACGCCCCTGCTGACATGACACATTTAATCTGTGTTGGCTCTGTGTGGTTATTGAACTCCCTGAACAGAAGGACAGAAAGAGTGTCTCTCTTAAGCATGATACGACATATGAGAAAGGTGACACTTTAATAAATGATTGCTGTGACAAGATTAAATCATCTCTTAGAGATACAAACAGGTGATGTTTTATTTTCAGAGAAAGTTGAAGCTTCCTGCTCAGTAATGTCATTGTTCTAAACCTCTCTGCAGATCCACCTGACACTGAGCAGAAACACCATCAGTCAGATCCGGCCGTATACCTTCGCCGACCTCCAGGATCTCCACGCGCTCCACCTGGACGCCAACCGCCTCACCACGCTGGACGACTCGCACTTCCAGGGCCTGGTGAACCTGAGACACCTCATCCTGGCCAACAACCAGCTGCACAGCATCTCAGAGGGAGCCTTTCAGGTAACCAACACCACCTTAACCCTGCAGCCACCATGTCCTCCTTCTAACTTTAGATTCTGCTCCTGAATGCTCTGGATTTGTTTGGACCAGAGAAGGTAGGCGCTTTTCAAACTAGGATCAATATTGGAGATGCTTTTGAAAAATGGAGAGAGGTTAGAACACAGAAAGGTTTACAGACCCATGCAGAGCTGGATAAACACTGAAGCTTCAGAGTCCACCACATGGTGACCTGTGTGCATCACTCTAGAGAGGAGGGGGAGACAGCTCTCTATGATGTTTAGAATTTAGACTGCAGTACCCATTTTAAACACTAGGTGTCAGAGTTACATACTGCTCCTTTAAATTACTGAAACGTTGGTAAATTGTTGACTTTTGGAGGAAATTGGGGTCATTTAGGCTCAAGAAATCATCCAAATAAAGATGTTATATTAGATTTTAGGGAGAGTAGGGCAGACTGGTGTTCTTCAGACTTCTTCATCTCAATAATCTGAACTGTAAAATACCGGGCTGCATCCAGAAATGCCACTTCAGAGGTATCTATTGTTATGTACTGAAGCATTGGGCCAAAAAAGGCGTCCTAACCTATTACATGTGCTTCAGTGTTTTCATTTGAAAAGGAAAAACATATAAGTAAGAGAAGCTCATTTTTCTTGATTTTCTTTGTTCGTTTGATTCTAAATTAAAATTTGAAATGACTAAATTAGTCTTCATTCTGGTTAGTGAGATAAACAAAATTACCCTTTTACCTTAGGCCTTTATTCATGAATTATTACTCTAATTTAAAACTCATCTTCATGAAGCTAAATGGAGTTTTGACCAATATGCAACATACCATTGATGTTTCACAGCCAATCATGGTAAAGAAAAGACCTCCACCACATTTCTAGCAGTCAGTCAGGTCTCCTCTCCGCTGCTCAGCCGGACACTTTTTTTTTATAACCCGGTCTCTTTCATTAAAACTAAAGCATCCTCTCCTGCAGCTCATTAAAAGTTCAGCAGTAAAAGTGTCCCCTCAGGCCCGGCTCTCAGACCTCTGCCGGAACGTCAGGAAGAGACGTGAACTCTGAACCTGCTAATGGAGCCGACCTTCTGAACTCCAGTCTGAACGTCAAACTCTCACCCAGCATGTCCTCAACTCTCTCTCTCTCTCTTCTCGTCCCATTTCACCCTCCACCTCCCGCCTTTATTCTTCTATCTCCAACTTCTCCTCCATCATGTCGAGACAAAACTCTATTCATCAAAGCACACATCCTATTTCTCTCTAGATCATGAATGTATGTGAAGCTGGGCTCAGACTCATGGGAGGAAAGAGTCAATATGAAGAGTTTGCTGCAGACCTGTTGAAGTTACAGAACACTGAGCTGTTAACACGTCTCTGTGACAAAAGAGTCACATGTGGCTTCCCTCGTTCAGTATTTTGTTGCTGGACAACACACATTAATCATCCATTATGTGTCTGTAAATCAAGTGTTGAAAATGAAAAAAATCATGCAAATCAGATGCTGAAGGTTAAAGGAGCTGATGCATGGACTGAAAATAAGTACACAAAATAAAGCCCAAAATGATTTAAATGAATGGGTTTAAGGTCATTGCTTTTCAAAAAGCTCTGCATGTTGAACGTACCGACCCAAAATTAATCAAAGTGTGTTTATCCAGCTCTGCATGGGTCTGTAAACCTTTCTGTGTTCTAACCTCTCTCCATTTTTCAAAAGCATCTCCAATATTGATCCTAGTTTGAGCACGTTTCTGCTCGTGGAGCTTATTAGAAACATGCAGAGGCTTTTTAGGTCGGGTACAATCACTTCTGTCTGAACCACTTCTCTTGACCGCTTCCATCGCTGCAACACCTGTTGACCTGATAACTGCTCTCATATCTGGCAAACCAAGGGGCGTCCAAAACGGCCGTGTGGGGGGGTCGCCTTCAAAGCGCCTACCTTCTCTGGTCCAAACAAATCCAGAGCATTCAGGATCAGAATCTAAAGTTAGAAGGAGGACATACTGGCTGCTGCATTGTTGTCAGAGAAGCCAGCACTTCAACATAGCATGTTTCCTTAATGATCAGATAGTAAGATACCTTTATCATCTCACTCTCACTTTTTGGACCTTTAAGTAACTTGCAGGATTCTTTTTCTAAACTAAAAATAATGTGTTTAGGATGTGTCTTGACGTTCATTAATGTTTGAATCGCTCGTTCCAGTTCTCGTTCTTTTGTTGCTTTAACCTAACCAGTCGTTGCCCTGAGCCATGGGGCGGAAACATTCACTCTGTATGAGTCACTCATTAAGACCAACAAACAACTTAATTTTGTCCAGGGGCGCGAGGACTGCTGCAGAGATGCTTCAAACATGCGTCAAGCAATCTTTAAACTATTTTAGGCATTTAGTACCAGAGAAATGTTTTTTCTCAGGAGGGCGGTTGTGAATCTGAGCTCATTTCCAGTCATTGTTTTCCTTACAGAGCTCCTCCTCTGGCTCTTAAATGTCCTCTTTGTCGCTTAGAAATCATATTCCCTTTGTTTAGAGAGCAATAACGTGCAGATTATTGTAATGAGAATTGAGGCATTGTGACATTCACACAGTGCCCTGATTGTTTGAATTATGAGAGCAATTACAGCAACGCCAACAACACTTTGAGCAAATCAACAGGCTGTTATTGCTCTCCGGCTTCAGCCTCACTTCCTCTCTGAATCCATCTCCCCTCTCCCCTTTGTTTATGCTCATTGTGATTCGTGCTGACTCATGGCATTTCCAACATCGTGCTGATGATGAGAATTGTATGGAGGCAATTAGAGAAGACAACGAGGTTTGAGTGTACAGCAGCGGCCACACTCATTGATCTCCATTTCTTTCTTCCTCCTTTACACTTACGTCTTATGAAATTTCATCCCAGTGTGAACCTTGATTACTGCTCACAGTCCCCTGCCTCTCTGTCTCATCTCCCCCGCAGGACTTCCTGGAGACTCTGGAGGATCTGGATCTGAGCTACAATAACCTGGTGGACATCCCCTGGGAGACCATCGCCCTGCTGGTCAGCGTCAACACCCTCAGCCTCGACCACAACCTCATAGAGAGCGTCCCCGAGGGGATCTTCTCCAACCTGCACAAACTGGCCAGGTCAGGATGGTGTCTGAACACTTTGCAGAATGAGCAGACGGTGTGACTTTAACAGACAGAGGGCGAGAGGGAGAGAAACCAAAGAAATGTGTTTCTGTGAGCTGGTTATTTTCCTGCCTCATTGCACCGTAAAATGTACTTACAGCGACTATGGTCTCGTTGTCGAGAAAGACTGCACACTCAGCTCTGCAAAGGGGTTTTAGTAAGACGTACAGCTGATGGATGTTTTACCACCTTCACATGGCCTGATGCATTCTCAGCCACTTCTCACCACAGGCAGTTTTTTCCATCAGACACGCTCTCATACTATACTGTCCTTACAATGAGTTGCTTATCTTCAAAGCTGGACAGTTAGCCAACAAGTGTAAGACCTCCAAAAAACTACAAGGCTTAACTTCTCTTGTTATTTATTGAAGAAGTCACAGTATTTCCGTTATTATTTACTTTCTTTTCTTTCTTGTAAAACTCAAAAGTACATTAGAGACTAACAAACAGAAAATAGTGCACAAGAAACAATTAGCTAACCTAACATGCTTAGTCATGCTGCTAGCTTACTGCTCTGTTAACTATCAATTTATTAAAATCTAATCATCTAAAGAAACAACTTCAAAAACGTACATGCTGCCTCTGTACGCCAAAGAACACAAAATAATAAATACTTACAGACAATTAGTGTCAAAGGCAACAATGTGGAAGAAGCTGCTGTCTGCCCTCTGCACAGCACTGAAAGGTCTCACATGCTCATACTACTCAGTTCACTTAAACAACCAGGAGGGGGCAGTGTAAAAACACTTTACTCAAAATGTCCTACACAAAGGGCACAACACATACTGTCCCTACAATACCTGATTCATATCAAACATGAGAGTAGACTTAAGGCCCTGACACACCAAGCAAACGGCAAAGAACCACAAAGACTACAGCCGACGGCCAACCACCACGTACGTTCTGCTCATGCGTGAGAGGAAATACCTCTCCATGCCAGCAGGGGGCGGTAGTCCATTGTTATGATACGAGAAGACCATTTTCACCCCGCTGTCGGTCACCACTCGTATTACAGGTCATCTACTAATGGAGAATAATGTCTGATAAGAAGGTGAAAACGGCGCTGGCGTTGTCAGTTCTTGGTCTTTTAGTGGAAAAAGAAAAGAAGAGGAGGAGACAAATAAGGAGAAACCACACTAATGGGTGAAAGCATGGAGACTACAGAGACATGCTCAGGAGGCTTTACTGAACCTGAGAGGAGAACTGGACAGAAATGAAACCTCTGAACAGCCAATCAGAGAGATTCCTCTCACTGACGCCGACCGAAGCCGATTCAACATGTCGAATCAGACAAAAAAAGGCAGGTGGGGGCCGACGGAGCTGGACACAAAACTAGGGCGACGATCGCTCACCGACGGTCCAACTAGGCGATATGTGACTGCTTTTGTGAATCTTAGTGAGGCCTGATACAGAACAGATAAATCTGCAGAGCTGTTTCATACAAAGACATCAAACCTGCAAGATCACACTCATGTAGTGAGACATGTAGACATGTCATGTCATACATGTGAATAATTGATAATGGATGAATATGACACAAAAATATTGAAATGGATCCAAAAAAATCTAAGAATCATCAAACAGCTTCAGCCTTTAAGGACAAAACAAATCGTTAAATTGATTTATTTCTAAGCATTAGAATTAGAATAAGCTTCTTTAAAATGAGGTTTTTGTTCATCCGTGTCGGATCCTTTCAGGATCTGCAGTTTCATTTAGTTAATTTTCAAACCAATTAGACATCAAATCTCGAAACCTAACAGACATCCAACTCAAGCTTAAGACATGATACAACTTAAATCTCCGAGCAAATCCCTCCGTGTCAGCCCTCACTTTAATGAACGCTGAACTCTGAAAAAACTCCTGTTCAGCTGCACTTTGCTCCACATTTCAACCAGCTGGGACCATGCTGACTCTGACCAGGGGGCGGGGGGGGGGTTAAATGCTGCAGTCCTCGCTGCTCTGACCCCAGACAGGAGGTGGATTTAAAGCGATGACCTTCAGTCTGCTCCTCTGCTCTGCTCAAAGATCTGCTTCACACTGTGGGAGAGTGTGTTTACATATTAATGCACAAAAGACAAATACACACACACACACACACACACACACACACACACACACACACACACTTCTGGAATTATTGTAATTGACATAAACTCCTTCAACACACAGATCAGAACAAACCTTTGCTCTCCAGCCTCAGGCTGTAGAAGATCTTATTTTTGATAGCACACTGAAATAAAAAAAACCACATCACATCGATTGGAGAGAGTAATGTTTAAAATCATTTAAAGGTCCTTTGTGCCCTGTCCCACACGTACATCACAGAGCTCTGACATCCCTGGGCGTCCAGTCAGCGCCTGCTCTCCTCCGGCAGAGCGCTCTTATCTCACAGTGAAGTCACAGTGACCCTGACTTTGTTCTTATGGCCCCAAAACTTTACAATAACTACTTTCAGGGACTCAAACTCACGACTGATCTTTACTGACTTTTAAAGTTTCAACTTAAGATTCATTTTCTTTAAACTCATTGGAGGCAGAACCAAGAACGATGAAGACCCTGATGGTCACTGTGACAATTTCTGCACTTCACAAATCACTAGCTAAAGGTCCAATCAGTAAGATATCTGCTGAACAAAATGATAATAATAACTAATATAGCACCTTTCAAGAACAGAGTCACAAAGTGCTTTACTAAAGGCAAGTGCTTTACTAGACAAGACAGATTAATCAAAAGCGAGTCTAAACAAATGTGTCTTAAGTTGCATTTTTTACAAGCGTCAACAGTGCCCACAAATCTTAAGCCCAAAGAGCAGAGCATTCCAAAATATTGGCGCTACAACCTGAAAAAGAAAACCCTGATCAGAAGACCTAAGAGACCTGCTGGGAGTATAAGGGGGTGTTCACACTTGACTTTTTTCAACTGCAAGCGCCTTTTTTACATACAAGCCTATGGAAAATGGAAAAAGTATGACGCCTTTTCAAAAAGCGCTGCGCCCGACGCCTTTTACAGTTGAATTATTTAAACTTTTCCGAAAATCGCTGAGTGACGTCAAGCACCTTTCTGAGAGCTGACCAATCAGGACGAGTAGTAACCACGTCCCTATTTACCTGTGCCCAAAAATGGCAAACTTCCACCTGATATGTGTGCATTGCGTGTCCGTGCATCCTCATCCATCAACACCCACCGGCTGCGTTCTCAGTCTGCAGCACGGAGAGCACAGCCGGACAGCTGGAGTACGGAAACACAGGAGTTTCCGCAGTAATTTAACAGATTATATCTGTTAGGTTATATCTATTATTATAAAACTCAATAAAAACCTTATAAACACATAAACAAACACACAAACGGTCGTTTTTCTGAACCGTCAAAACAGAGAGTTTTATTCTGAAAATAAACCGGATGTTTTAATGTTGTATCGGTGTCTGACTTCCCGTCCCGTTTTTTTTTTTCTGTGCTAAATTGATGTGTTGTGCTCCGGCCGGCTCCGGCACGGTTGCACCGCAGACTAGATCCTGTTGTTATGGTTACAGAACACTCGCGCATAAGCGCTCAAAAGGCGCTGAAAGCAGCGCTTTTTTCTGAAAAAAGAAGTCAAGAGTGAACACCCCCTAAGGCCGTAAAAGTTCTGTGATATTGGCCGGTGCCTGTCCATGCAGGGCTTTAAAAGTAAGAACAATTGTATTCTAAAATTGATGGGAAGCCAGTGTAAAGGAAAACGTGAGCTTACTATCTGATCATTAAGGAAACATGCTATGTTGAAGTGCTGGCTTCTCTGACAACAATGCAGCAGCCAGTATGTCCTCCTTCTAACTTTAGATTCTGCTCCTGAATGCTCTGGATTTGTTTGGACCAGAGAAGGTAGGCGCTTTTAAGGCGACCCCCCACACGGCCGTTTTGGACGCCCCTCAGTTTGTCAGATATGAGAGCAGTTATCAGGTCAAACCAACAGGTGTTGCAGCGATGGAAGCGGGCAAGAGAAGTGGTTCAGGGATCAGGCCTATCCCAAAGCGAGCCCTAATAAACGTCTCTCTAAACAGTGAAATGTATCTTGAATCAGCTGCTTGTTCCCCTCTTTCCGTCCCTGTAAAGAACTTAAACTTTGGCCTTTTGTAATATGTTTTAAAACAAAGATCGTTCACATTAAATGTGGTTGCATGTGTGCGGAGTAATATAACTCTGCCGGCACAAATTAACATTTTAACCCCATTAACAGTAATCAATTTAAATTTCCATCCAGACGTTCAACAGTAATTGATGTGTGAGGAGGGAACACCAAACAGGTTCCAGATAAACACGGCTGCTTTTATTAAAAAGGCTGCAACGGGGTTATTTTTCCCCCTGCAGACACAAAACTTATGAACCTGCTTGTGTAGCTCTGAATTAGTGTGTGTGTGTGTGTACAGGTGAGCGTCTCACACACATACACGAACAAATACACACACCGCAAATTAATACAGCACACAAAGCTGCTGTCCATGAAATAACCTAATTGAAATTTGTAAGGCGCAGCATGCTCGCTGCTCTCAACAGCTATTAACTTCCTGTTAAGTCATCGTTGTTGTCGAATGTTTCTTGAGGGACTTTGGGGGGGGAAAATAGACTTTCTGTGTTTGCTGCTGACGACGGCAAAAAGCTCAAATCTCCGACTTTATTACCAGTCGTCAGGTCCAACGTTTGGTGAGGAAATGAGTGTTCAGTTCCCTGAGATGGTGCAGCAGCAGCAGCGTAATGACACGAGTACAACCTGGACCAAAAAACTGATGACTAATGCTCGTCTGCTGCTGGATCTCATTAGAGTGATCCTACTTTGTTTGCAAAGTTTGGTCCACTTTTTAAGAGTCCAATAACGTCTCCTGCCTCTTCTACTTTAAATACGTTTGGAAACTATTAGGGAGTCAGAGTGCCGGAGAGAACGACACAAACATCTTTCACTCAGCTGCTGATTTCAGCTGAAGTGTAAATGCACTTTAATTTGCATTTAACCAAAGATTGTAACCTTGAAACAGACCTTAAAATGAACCTCAAGAGCAACACTAAGCACACTGAAAGACGTTGGATATTTGAAGGATTGAGCGAGATAGATTGTGCTTTACTTTGCCTCGGGTACGGCCTATTTTAAAAACCTCTTCACCAGGATGTGTTTGAGGAAGAGGGTGATCAATGGCTATAATCAAAAACCTTTTCTGATTTGTAGTACTCGGAATCAGCGTTGGTCTTAAGACCGGTCTCAAGACCACTTTTGGAAGGTCTCCTCTCAAAATAGAAAGAATTTCAACTCTGTCTTGTCTCGGTCTCAGAATGGGCTGACTCAGGATTTTAAATCAAGACCACCACCAATCGGCTATTTTCAAATCATCACTGTGATTAGAAGGAAAACGCCTCGTTCTCAAGGAACATGTAACTTCAATTGATCTGTAGTTTGATTTTTATCTCCCGGTTACAACCGCAAGCGAGGGAAACGCCCCCTGACCACAAGATGAGGATTTTTCATTGAATTTTATGGTCTTATGTTAGTCTTGTCTCTGCCTCGATCCCTAAATGTCTTGATCTTGGAACACTCTGGTCTTGGTCTTGTCTCGGTCTTGGAACACTCTGGTCTTGGTCTTGTCTCAGCCTTGGAGCACTCTGGTCTTGGTCTTGTCTCAGCCTTGGAGCACTCTGGTCTTGGTCTTGTCTTGCGCTCGCCCTGTCTTGGTCTTGGTCTTGACTCAGTCTCACCCCTAACTGTCTTGGTCTTGTCTCGGTCTTGGAACACTCTGGTCTTGGTCTTGGTCTTGTCTCGGTCTTGGAGCACACTGGTCTTGGTCTTGGTCTTGTCTCGGTCTTGGAACACTCTGGTCTTGGTCTTGGTCTTGTCTCGGTCTTGGAACACTCTGGTCTTGGTCTTGTCTCAGCCTTGGAGCACTCTGGTCTTGGTCTTGTCTCGCGCTCGCCCTATCTTGGTCTTGGTCTTGACTCAGTCTCACCCCTAACTGTCTTGGTCTTGTCTCGGTCTTGGAACACTCTGGTCCTGGTCTAGGTCTTGGTCTTGTCTCAGCCTTGGAGCACTCTGGTCTTGGTCTTGGTCTTGGTCTTATCTCAGCGTTGGAACACTCTGGTCTTAGTCTTGGTCTTGGTCTTATCTCAGCGTTGGAGCACTCTGGTCTTGGTCTTGGTCTAGTCTCAGCCTTGGAGCACTCTGGTCTTGGTCTTGGTCTTGTCTCGCGCTTACCCTGTCTTGGTCTTGGTCTTGGTCTTGACTCGGTCTCGGTCCCTAAATGTCTTGGTCTTGGTCTTGGTCTCTGAGCGCTCTGGTCTCGGTTAGTGTGGTCTTGACTTCAACACACTTTGTCTCGTTGGTTTGTAACTGCTCTGTGTTTTATGACTGTAACTTGTCTCAGCCAGGAGATTCTTAATCTCAGTGAGGTTTTCCTTGTTCAAAACATTTTAAATATAAAAAAATCCATAAATGAAACACTCGTCCTTAGAAGGTATTTTTGTTTTAAACAAATAAGAAACTCAAAGACAAAGATAAGTCCACAATTAGTGAATCCGTTCAAAGTGGAAAATGTTCCCAACATGATTTCAACAGTCACACACATCGCTGATTCATGCATGTGAGCCGAGCTGCAGAAGAAACGAGCTCCTGAATAAGAAATGATTTTGACCATGAAAAACAAGTGCAATGGTTTTAAAACTTTTCATTTAAAAAAAAAGGGATTTCCGATTTATTCTGCAGAAATGTTTCATTCTCTGAGATCTCATGAGGACAATTTGGAGAGAGGGGTGAAGATCTGGGCAGTGTTCGTGAGGACAACCATTTGTAGTTCCCCCTCTCATTTTCTCTCTAATGGTCGCCCCCTTCCTCACCCTTCCCTCCCCATTACTCGCCTTTAGACATGGCTGCCCACCTCAGATTCCCGCCAATCAATCAAGCCGTTTCAGAGCTTTCACCACACAGACCAGAGTCGGATTGTCGGGGAGAAGTTGTAAACCAATCTGTTTTGTTTTCGACTTAACAATTGGAAAAAGTCAAAGTTCTGTGTATTTATGTGTGTGTGATTATAAAACGTAAACTGCTTCAGTGAAACCAGAACAATCCCAGAGTCCAAGTGCAGAAATCTGAAACAGATTTTCATTGGACTAACCAACGACGCCGCACTGCGTGGTTGAGTTTTATGTAAATGAAGTTTAAAACACAAGAAGGTCCAAACTTAAGGATGAAATGAGGTCTCTTCATATTTCATCTGGAGTCATTTCCATAACATGAGTCAGTGAAGAAGAACTCCCCAATCCCTTTCTCCTCTGAAAGTTTATGAAGCTTGTAAAGAGGATTTAAGAGAAGACTATAAACTGGTTCAGAGAGAGTCGGATGAAGTTTTTAAACTAATCTTTACACTTCTGGATTAAACATGCAAAGGATATTAAGAGTTGAATCAAAGTCTTAATAGTAAGAAATGAATCCAGCTTCTTTTCACTTGTTAAACTGATGCACTCGTTTGCTCATGAAGGCAGAGGTTGATGATTATTGTGTTCATTTAAATCCAAGTGAAGGAGTTTAGGTATCGCAGCGTTTTGTTCACAGTGAGGGTGAGATGGTGGTTCAGGTATCTAATCAGGATGCCTCTAGGACGTGTCCTTTTGCAGGTTTAGTGGGCATGTCCAACTGGGAGGAAACCTCAGGGTAGACCTGGAGTCTGCTTGGGGATAATTTGTCCCATCTGGCCTGGGAATGCCCCCAAAATCCTCCAGGAGGATCTGGAAAAGGTTGCTGGGGAGAGGGAGGTGAAAAAGATTCTTCTTATGAAAAAGAGTTGTTGAATGTATGAATAAAAACTATCTTATGGGTTTATTCAAAATGGAATTAAAAATAAATAAAATTGAAAACTTCTGGAAAGTGTTTTGATTGTGATAACCATTAAACAATTTATTAAACTTCAACAAACTTTAAGTTGATAACGTATCCCTCTCTCTCCCTCTCCCTCTCCTTCTCGTCTCCACCAGACTGGACATGACCTCCAACAAGCTGAAGAAGATTCCTCCAGACCCGTTGTTCCTGCGGATCCCAGTGTACGCTAAGATGAAGGGTTCTCCTCTCACTGCGCTGGTCTTGAGTTTTGGAGGAAACCCTCTGCACTGTAACTGTGAGCTGGTCTGGCTCCGCAGGCTGACCCGAGAGGACGACCTGGAGACCTGCGCCTCGCCCAGAGACCTGGCTGGAAAATACTTCTGGACCATCAAAGAGGTTTGTAACTGCAGAGCTACATCTCTCTCTCTCTCTCTCTCTCTCTCTCTCTCTCCTCTCTCTCTCTCTCTCCTCTCTCTCTCTCTCTCTCTCTCTCTCTCTCTCTCTCTCTCTCTCCCTCTCTCTCCTCTCTCATCTCTCTCGTTCGTGCACGCAGCAATTTTATGAGTAAATTAAAAATTACCTCTGCGCTTCTTTTTCAACCAAAGGTCCAGTCCAGTCGCCCCCTGCTGGCCATTAGACAGAGAGAGTGCTGGTTTAAGGACCTATCATAAACAAGAAGCTCGGGGTCTTTGGTATATCTGTGACATTTATCTTAGATGGTTAAAGATAAGGATGATTGAAGGTCCCATCGATGTGATGTGTTCCTCTCATTAGCTGAGGACGATACCAAAGCTTCATAAAGACATGTGGAGTGTTTTTAGTTTATCTTCTTTCATTTGTAGAGAAAAACACAAATATTGTTCTTCTTAATACCAGGAGCCCCGAGTCATCATAAGGCGGCTCGTACAGATCCCTAACATTCATAATACATCATTTAAACCTGCTAGTCACAGAAACGGCTTCCTTTGGTCCACTGAAGCCCAGAGCTAAACTACCTTTTTCCCCGTGCCCTAACTGTGGCCCTCCTCAAGGACGCCAGAGCAGAGCAGATGGCTGCTGTCACAGAGGAGTGGAGCTCCTGCTGAAAGAGAGGATATGCAAAGAAGAAGAACCATGACATTATGTAATCCTGCTTTATATCATCCTGTAGAGTAAGAAGGAGCAGAGAGGGGACAGAGGAGGCAAACACCAAAGACCTGGTTCCATATAAAAGCCTAAAAAACACACAAAGCCATGAGAGGTACAAATAAAATAAATTTGGCCTTTTGCTGCACAGAGCGTTATTTATTCATCGGCCTATTGAAGTAGGACAGTACACATTAATAAACATTACTGTTAATGTGGCAGCAGAGCTATTTTTCATCCAGAGTCTCAGGGGAAATGTTACAAAGGCAAGCTAAAATAAAACATTAAAAACAAACAGCTTTGATGAAATATGAGCACGCAGAGCAGATAAAGAAGTTAACCCTTACAGTGCCGACCTGAGGCTGAAGTCCACATCATGTGGCTGGTCCAGGTCTTTGTGAACAACAGGAGCTGCTCGACTGTTAACAGCTCCATTTTTTATTTATTGATTATGAAGGTTAGTGTTCACTTTGTATTTAAGGGGCTCATACTTGACCCCAAGATGTGAGAAACCATGTTTGACCTTGAGTTCATTCAGATTAAAAAGTGACTTTGAGTAAAATCATTTCAAGGCCCTTCATCAAGTTTTTTATGAGACTCTGTCAGCCTCAGACTGCAGGCACACAGCAGCGCTGCCCTTTACAGTATTATCTTAATCACAGATTTTATCTAAAAATAATCTGCATCTGATGTTGAATACAGTCACGAGTTAGGGCCCGTGTCCTCAGACGGTGCTCGTTACAGTCAGAGAGTCAGACGTTTTTGTTGATTTGCTCGCAGCGCTGTCAGATAAAAAGAGTTCAACTTTTAGAACAGTGGTGTCACTTCTCTCTCACTGACCAATCAGAATCAACAGGGTGGCGGGACTTCTGGTATCGGAGGAGACGCTGGTCTGACTGGTCTGTAGTACGTTTACAGTATTACCCACAGGAGATCCTTTGTTGAGTGCTAAGAAGGAAGCTAGGTCATACATCTCTGCAGAAAAAAAAAAAAGAGCTAAAAATCAATCATGATGTAAATGTACGCTTTGTTGAGGATTATTTCCTCACTCACTTTTGCCGTCAGCCAGCCACTTTGTTCTGGCTCTACTTCAGCTCCTCCTCCTCCTCCTGCTGCGCACTAAGGCTGGAGTCTAAATGATATTTGCCTGGTTGTACAACTTTATCTACTTATAGGTATATCCTGCAGTTTGATATTAGTGTGAGAAATTCTGTTTATTTGATGGTTTGCCCCTTGAGATGAACCATCTTGTTTTGGAGGGGGGGTCCAACACAAAAACAAAAACACAACAGTACAGTGTGATACAGACAGTCAAGCACAAAATACACACATTAACATAAAGGCTCTCAAACACCCATCCGCCCACGTATCCTTCCCGCAAAGCCACAGCACCCACACAAAATCATCAGAGGTAGAAGCACATTATGACATTTGCAATCAAGAAAACAAAAAGATATGATATTAAAGGGGCAAGAGGACATCACCATTAGAAGCAGCAACATGGTTTTGTGAGAAAAGGTAGCAGTGATTTCTTAAAAATGTGTAGTGAATGTATTGTTCTGATGTTTATAGGTAGATTGTTCCAGTCAGAGGGAGCTTTGTAGTTGAATGCTCATCTGCAGATTTATTTATTGGTTTTGGGAACAAGAAAAAAGGCTGCTGAGTATGTCTTAAAGAATATGAGGAATTGTGTGGTGTTAAATGTTGTTTTAAATGAGAGGGAAAATTTAAGTGAATACTTTTGAAAATACATCGGAGCCAATGGTAATGTCTTCTTTATTAGTGCAGCCAAGTTTAAGATCATTAGAGGCAACAAATGTTTCAAGATTACCCGGCACAGTGATGGCTGTTGAGTTTTATTATTCTCCTCATCTTAAAGCTGACACTGCATATATAAGATGAAGAAATTGTGTGGATCATTATGAAATTAAATATCATATAAAAAACCATGGCGAGCAGAAAACAAGAAAAACAGAACTAATCCTTTAAATTGCCCTCCTGGTTTCAGAGAGTCCATCTTGGGAGTATTTCCAAATGTTTTTGGAGCGCTAACACCTTAAATACAAATCTGGCCTCCCAACTCACCTCCACAGTGTGCCGGCTGAAGAAAGAAACAAGCTGCTGCTCGTTTGGCTCTGTGGAGGAGTAATGCTTTAATCTTGTTAATATGTTAATAGTAAAGACATCAACGGAGCGGCTCAGAGTGAAGAAGAAAAACCTCTGCAGCTCCGCTCCTGCTGCATAATGAAGTTAGATGGTGCGAGGACTAAAGGTTGAGGAGATGCTGATCTGCTCTTCATCTGAACACCTGCTGGGAGAATACTTCCACGCGCTATCGTAGCCGAAGCTGATTCTGGGAGGGGATAACGCTGGAATTAAGTGCTGCGGGTTCAGGATGGCGCCTGAGCGAGGGATGATACAGCGAGGGTTTTTAACTCACCTGGATGTCCCCCGGGCCCAACCCCTCCGATGAAAAGTAGAGGTACAGCTTGAGATAAAGACGGGATTAATTGGTATCATGGAGGAGAGGATGATGCACAGACCTCTGCCTCACCTCCGGTAATAGTCCTGGACCTCCTTCAGCGGAGGTGCTGCAGGATCACTATAAGAGGATTAGCCTTGTAAAGGAGGTCGAACCGGAGACCTCCGTGTCACCTAAAGTGTCTGGGCTTATTAATACTCAGACAGCTAATCGCCCTCTTTCCCCACTGCAAGGACAAGTGAGCCTGCACCGCATCCCATCAGAGAGGCGAGACTGCTGCAGCCATCAGCCGACCAAGGGAAGTCCCCGCCTGGAGATCGATGAGCGCCGCTTATTGCTTCTTCTTTGACACACAGCTGTGTTCTCACACGGGGAATCAACGAGGAATTGGACAAAACAGATATTTATTACGACCAAATGAGTATTCATGCTCCTTTTTTCCCTCTGATGGCAAATTTCACTTTCACACTTCCCCCTCGCTCTCACCATGGGAGCAGCCGCTTCAATCACAGCCTTTCACTCTCAGCGTCACGGCGGCAAATTGGGGGGTTAGAATGTAATACAAGTCTGAAAGGCACTAGTGCTTTATTTGACGCTGCATCCCAGCGGTCATCAGGTCAGCAATCATCCCCAGCTGGTAACAATACTCGGGGAAGAAGAAGGTTTTTTTGGAGATGCACTGAGTGGTAGGCATGATGAGTAAGCCCTGGTAAAGCCTCGGCTAGGCCCTGCTCGGCCTAGCTCTAATACTCCACCAGGGTTTTGGCTCGGCTTTCTGCAGGCTTAGGCGCCTGTGGGTGGGTTTTAAATATTGCAAGAGTTGGAAAAACTCTTGCGATCACTTAATCTCTCTGTGCAAACAATTGCACTCCTTCTGTCAGGAGGAACACACCACTAGCGTAAGAGTCGGAGAGGAAATGTAATGTTTTACACAACAACAGCAGCCTGAATATTTTATGAGTTTGTAAGGGCGGTTGTTATTCACAGATCATACTTACAAAAAAAAGTTATGCACGATAATTTGGAATCAAACGGTGAAACAAAGAGACATCTGGGAGATCTCAGCTGTTGGATGCAGCAAAAGAAAGAAGTCCTGCTACTCGGGTTTGAGGGGAATCAAGTGATGTCAAGTAAGATTTAAGGATCTGAGATTTACGGCTGGGTTGAGGATGGCACTCTAACTTTTCCCAAAGTTTAGACCTACGCTTTGATACAATTTTGCATAACTTCATCATACAAATAGTAGCATGGGTTGATGTTGCATTCAAACTTCTTTTCTCTTTTTTTTGTTAGTCAAACCCTCAATTCTCAAACTTTCTTTGAGAATAAACATGTGCCAGAAATGAAAAAGGTCGATCTAACCTCTGATATCATTTTCAGGAAGGTGTCTCATGATGTTTTGGGTCTCATTTCTCCTAACAGGAGGAGTTTGTCTGCGAGCCGCCCATGATCACCCGTCACACCTCCAAGATGTTTGTGATGGAGGGTCAGGAGGTCAGTCTGCGCTGCAAGTCCATCGGAGACCCCGAGCCGTCCACTCACTGGGTCAGTCCTGACGGGAAGCTGATCGGAAACACGTCCAGAACCGTCTGCTACGAGAACGGCTCTCTGGACATCCTGAAAGCTTCAGTGAAGGTACAGAAGGAGTTCTGAGGTTATGTGTTCTGATTTGTTTAGAAAACTTACTTTATATGAATTGCCTTTCCAACTTTGAAATTCAAACACCTAAACATTGTGAAAAGTCAGAGATATTTATCGAGAGAAATTGAAGTATATGCAGCATGACTGAAATGCATCATCAAGAAAAATACTTAACTGCCTGTGTCTGGAGGGAAAACAAGCAGAGAATGTAGTTAGCTTTTAGCCTGCAGCACAAAAATCTTAAGCTGTTTATGTTTCAAAACATCAAACTCGTCAAAAGGTATTTCTCAGGTCGAAGTCCTCTGAAATGTTTTTACTGCAAAGTTTGTCACAGCAAAGGTGAACATGAATCCCATATCCTGAGATTTATTTGCACTTCTTTAGATATGAAATGGAAAGTTACCCTGGGCCATATGTATAAATTCAATCACTGACCCTGTCACTGTCGCTCTCTCTCTGTATCGTCAGATTGGTCCATACAGAGAGGTTAGCATTAGTATTAGCATTAGCATCGTGAAAGTTTTAATTGCAAACATATTGAATGTAGTTTTTGGATGTAAACTGAGCCCCACATTTTTGGGCTTTTTGCCTTTAATGACAGAAAAAGAGAATGTAGTAGGTAAGTCAGGAGAGAGCTCGGGGAATGACAGGGAGGGAGACGCAGGTCGGACTTGGGGGCGGCAGAGTCGGTTGTTTCTCAACAGGAATTTAGATCCCCAGCTCCTGCAGCCACGTGTTCGATGTAAACAAGTCCATTTACCATCGACTATTTACTTGAACCTGGCCACCCACTTGGAGGACTATAGCCTCAGTTCTTGGTTTGCTATCTAACTGCGAGGCCATCAGCACCACCAACAAGCTTCAGAGTTTCCCAAAAACCATCAAAGTCTGTAACATCAGGGCGCCGGTGGCCTAGTGGTTGGCTCAGCATGTGCAGAGTCTGTGGTCCTCGTGCAAGCAATCCGCGTTCGGGTTCTGTCTGCGACTCCCTTCCTTCATATCATTCCATGCCAGCATACCAACAAAGAACCAAAAAATGATGCTGACTACTACGAGCACTCTGACTTCACAAAACATTCATGATTGGATCCAGAGTATTTTTAACACCTTCAGGCGAACTTCAGTGGTTTTAAAGTTCTGTAAAATAACTTCTTCATGGGATAAGTTTGAAGACTCCAAGAGCAAAATGTTTCTATAAATGTATAAAGTAATACACTGGATATTTTAAGAGAAGGAAAGATAGGTAGCTTGTCGAGTATTATAAGTTCCACACAGTATGACTCAAATCAAATCAAGGGTAAATGTTGGGCCTCCTCTTCTCTTTTCTGCTGATTTGTAGGATTCTGGAAAGTTCACATGCATAGCCTCAAACGCAGCTGGAGAGGCGACGGCTCCTGTCGAGTTAGTCGTCAACCCGTCGCCACACTACGACCCGAAGCTGGACCCGGACCCGGGGCCTTCGGACATCCCCACGTCTATAAAGTCGAACATCAGCGGAGGTCAGGCGCGCTCCGACCAGCAGAGGGTCAGCGTGTCCGATCTAACGTCCGGCTCGGCTACCATCAGATGGCCCCCGCAGAACCACATACCAGGGGTCCGCATGTACCAGATCCAGTACAACAGCTCCACAGACGATATACTCATATACAGGTAAGAGGAAGTGTGTGTGTGAGTGTGTGTGCGGCTGCTGAAGGGTTTGATCAGAAGTCTGAACACAGAGAATGTTTTCACTGCAGGAACTTCTCTCAGGTCATTTCTCGACGCTGTCTTGTAACATTTTTGGTCCAGAAGTGGACCAATGGCGTGCATGTGAGGGGTAGAGAATGAGCAGGGAGACAGGGAGGCGTGTGATTGGTTCATCAGATTGGTACCTCGTGGCAGACATTGACAAGTTTTTACAGACTTACAAACTGATACAGATGAAGGATTTTCTTTGTTCCTTTTTCAGAGAACATGAGTTATTAATTTCTGTCAGGACCTAAAGACAATTTACACCAGAATCTTAAAAAGTGGATCTGGAGGAAATGACCAACCCTGACTTTAATGTGTTGTTATAGTGTGCTCAGGTACAGTATGAAGAGTGTCCGAGTCGTGAGGTGGCTGAGGGACGATATTGGAGTGATGTCGGAGTGTTTCACTCGCTAAGGAAAAGAAAATTTGAAAACAGTCTCAGGTTGCTTTGCACACTCAGAGGTGGCAGCAAAGGGGAAGTAAGGTGTTACATATGGCAGCCATATTGGAGGTCTCCAGGTCACTCCATTAACAGCTGACTGTGTTCCTAACGATGTGTACAACATGCTGTTTCCTTACTGTGTGTGTGTGTGTGTGTGTGTGTGTGTTGAGTTTGCTAATTTGCATGGCAGATAGGTTTGTTTTATTTTCGTTTGTTTTTGTCTGTCGGTTAGGTTTATGTACATATATTTGTGCGTTTATACTTAGAAGGTGAAAAAAAAAACAAGTGCAGGAACTGTGTGTGTGTGTGTGTGTGTGTGTGTGTGTGTGTGTGTGTGTGTGTGTGTGTGTGTGTGTGATTGCTGCTTTTCTCTCTGTCTTTACTCAGAGATCGTCCCTGTGTGGGTTGGTATCACCAAGGTCTTCCTCGCGTAGGAAGCTGTTTCAGGGGTTTTCAGGCTGTTTCAGGTTGTTGTTGTTTGTTTGTTTTTTGGAAGAGAGCCGCTCAGCGAGGAACGAAAGAAGAAGTGTAGACAGAAAATAAACGATGATTTGGCTGCCAAAACAACATCACAATTGTGGTTTCATCGTGATTGGAGCGGTTAAGTGATCATTTGCGGCTGAAACAATTTTTTTAGAAATCAAGCCAAAAATACGACAAAACCGTTTTTATAAAGGGAACATGTAGCTGACTAAAATTAAATCAAGCAAGTGAAAATAAAAGAATGAACAGAAAAGTTTGGAATTTTTCCAGATGTCTTTAACCTGCAGGCTGCAATTTAAACATCGGAGACAGATGCCTGAAATCAAACTACCTCCACTAAAAGTTGTTGTTTCTGTCGCTGACAGGCTCAGATTGTTCTTCTTAGTGTCTCACAACATACCAGGAGGGATCCCTGCAGAGATGGAGCTTTTTCTGTTGAAGAGGAAGAATCGTATTTGAAACAGAAACAGCCATTACACCGCCAGACTCCATTTATAAAAGCAGTCATTTTACCTCGCAGAACACGGGTTTGTGAGTTAATATTCTGTTCAACACTAAAGCAGCAGAAGACAAACAACTCTCCTAGTCTGCAAGGTAAAATGACTGATTTGTCAAGTCTGGTGCTTTAAGGGCAGACAGCGATGTGACGGCTGTATTTGAATGAACAACAACAACAACAAAGATGTCAATCTCTGGGATTCTTTCTGTTAAGTTGTCAGACACTTAAATTATCAATTTATGCATGTCAATGATGATGATAAGAACGTTTAGTAGAGATGATTTACCTCAGAGGACAACTCTGCAGCCATTGCAGTCTTTTTCACAAAACCTGTTACAACCAGTGTTGGGGTACTTACCCAATAATGTTTCACTACTAGTTACATTACTTTTGCATTACTCAGTAACACCTCCTGAGATGCTCTAAAGCTTACACAAGTACACATGAGCACAAATCCGTATTCTAAAAAAAGAAGTCAAACACAGGAGATCTTAACGATACAATCTTGTTCCTTCACGCAAAAAACCTCAAAGTGGTGTCCATATCTCTGAGCCGCAAAAAAAGTGTCCTGATTTGACACACTTTTCATTTGCATTTCCTCCTTCCTTTGAAGTTCCAATCTGTAAGATATCGTTGTCATGATATTAAGAAAAACATGCTATGTATGTTTCTGAAAAAAGAAGTCAAGTGTGAACACCCCCTGAGGCCGTAAAAGTTCTGTGATATAGTCCCGGTGCCTGTCCATGCAGGGCTTTAAAAGTAAGAACAAGAATCTTGAATTGTATTCTAAAATTGATGACAAGCCAGTCTGAAGGAAAACGTGAACTTACTATCTGATCATTAAGGAAACATGCTATGTTGAAGTGCTGGCTTCTCTGACAACAATGCAGCAGCCAGTATGTCCTCCTTCTAACTTTAGATTCTGCTCCTGAATGCTCTGGATTTGTTTGGACCAGAGAAGGTAGGCGCTTTTAAGACACACCCCCAACACAGCCGTTTTGGACGCCCCTCGGTTTGTCAGATATGAGCGCAGTTATCAGGTCAACAGGTGTTGCAGTGATGGAAGCGGGTCAAGAGAAGTGGTTCAGATAGAAGTGATTGTACCCGACCTAAAAAGCCTCTGCATGTTTCTAATAAGCTCCACGAGCAGAAACGTGCTCAAACTAGGATCAGTATTGGAGATGCTTTTGAAAAATGGAGAGAGGTTAGAACACAGAAAGGTTTACAGACCCATGCAGAGCTGGATAAACACTGAAGCTTCAGAGTCCACCACATGGTGACCTGAGTGAGCATGGACTATAGAGAGGAGGGGGGGGAGACAGCTCTCTATAATGTTTAGAATTTAGACTGCAGTACCCATTTTAAACACTAGGTGTTAGAGTTACATACTGCTCAGAGTGTGTGGAAAATGGAGAGTTGGACTCATCATCATTTCAGTGACACATTTTTCATTAAAAGGCTCATTTTTGCAGAGAGCTCGAGTTTCCCCTGAAGGAAGCTTCTGGTCTGTCTCCAAAACCCAGAAATCCTCCGGAGCAGCAGCTTGTTGACTTGATTTGCACATCCTAATCACCAGATGTCGATTTCAGAGCATGTTTCAGGGCTGGAGCTGCCAAGTGGACCCTCCATCAGCCCACGACACCCAGCGACCACTGGATGGTCCCATCAGCCACTTAGCCAGCTCCGTAACCATAGCAACGTCGTTCAGAATGCATAATTGAGTGCCATTACGGAGCATTTGGAGGGCCGACAGATGACGGGTTTGAAATGTGTCCACGGCCTCAATTCTCAATTTCAACTAAAAGAACCAAAAAGGGCTCAAGTGACCGTTTTGTCGTTTTGTAGCCTCTTAGCGTGAGGGAGCTGCGGGTGAAGAGCAGAAATAGATCATTGTGATTGATCCGTGGTGGGTGACCCTAATGGTTTTCCCCACGGCGGGGGAGGGTTTGTTTCTCTCAGCGGGATGTGAGACAGATGCAGCAGCACGGTGTCAGCTAATGACCCTCCTCCTCTTCAGAGCAGAGAAGACTTTATTTTTGTTTTTATCTCCACCCACCAGCGTGCGTTCGATGACCCCGTCCATCATCTGTACGATTACAAGCAGACATGTTATCGTTCAGTCAGAGACATCGATCGTTTTAAAAACAGCTGTAATGTCAGGGCGTCTGTCCTCACATGAAAGACGTCAGTGCGGCACCGGTCCCCAAACCTTTAAATGTAACTGTACTTCTTTATTTTTCTGTCAGTGGAGTCTGGAGTTAAACTTCTTTAACACCGAGTATCCGTCTGATATAAATGGAGTTACAAATTCACACTTAACATTGGTTTAAAAACATTGATTGTTGACATTTTTCCAGCTTTGACAAACATTACACCACACCATCTTCCTGTTGGTTGTTATTGTCACATAGTTAACCTAAAACCTGTTGATTTGGGGGCGCTGGATAGCCTAGCAGTTATGTCATGCACCCAATGTACATATATAGTCCTCAGTGCAGCGAGGAGCTCGCCATTGTTTTGAATCTGACCTCGGCCCTTTGCTGCATGTCATTCCCCCTCTCTCTCCTCCCAACATGTCCTGTCTCTCTTTAGCTTTCTTATCCAGCGAAAATACCCCACCCCAAACAAAAAAACAGAGGCCTTTGGTTTCAATTCTACATCTTCAGTTGCATTCCCCTCAAAGCATAAAGAGAGTCGAGAGAGTCGAGCCAGAAGAATCAGCTGATGAGACGACTGCAGAGAATCTAACGTTACATTCAAGCTGCGTTCACGTGGATTCAGGAAGATGGTTGACATGTGAGAAGGGAAGACAACAAACGATTTAAATGTCTGTACACAAGACATCAGAACATAATGACAAAGGGAAAAAGCAATAAGACATCCAATAAAACCTTCAAGAAGTCGATTAAAAGTTGAGGTAAAACACTAAAAATAAAGAAGGAAAATGAACCATCCTGCCCTCATCCACTACATTTATATCTACTTTGATATCTTATGTCTGCATGAAACCCTGTTAAGGCAGCAGATCTTTTACAGGAATTGTAACACAGCATCATCTTCTATCCTGTAAAATGTCCAATGTAACTGGGAACATGGCGTCGTCATTATGTGGTAAAATGATGTCCCAGTGCAGCCTCTCCAGAGAGTCCTGCAGCGTTCCCATGTCTAGTTAAAGTTTGATTTGTACCAGAGAGAGTGAGTGGGGAATGACATGCTGGAAAGGACCCACAATCTGCCCGCTTCATGGACTTCAGCCTCCGTACATGAGGCAACGCATTAACCACTAGGCTACCCGCGACCAAAAATCTAAATCTTATAGCTTTCCACAGCTTTCTAAACATATTTCACCCAAAATACAAAAAAACATGTGAGGGTTTGTTTTGGGGCTTTTTGAGTCAGAGACCAGGAGAGAGAGAGAGTGGGGAATGACATGCGGGAAAGAAGCCACATTTGGGATTCGAACCCGGGACGTCTGCTTGAAGGACTATAGCCTGT